GCCCTATTTGGGATGATTTAATTGCATTATCCTTTACCTTCTTTCTGTCTATACATTTTCATGACAAATAAGCATAATTTTAATATCCACACTTCATATTTCAATATCACTCATTAGAAAATGGGCACACCATGTTTAAAGTTAACTATTGTGAGCTATCCTAACATTTTAATGCAAATACCTACAGTTAAACTTTTTCACAAAGTATCTACTTCTCTAGGAATGAACTTTGAAGAGGCCCCTCCTTTTATAGCTTATCACACAATTGGCTTCTTCTAGACTTTTCTACACAGGATGGTGCCCAGGGGGCTGACACCTAGTTCACTTTAGAATCAACATAAATTTTATTTTAGCAAAAGTTGTTTTATCACTCAAGTTAAAATTTTGTTCTCATGAAAAAGCATCATTATGATTTCCTTAAGATCAATTTCAAAAGTGATGGGGGAAATTAAGTATTTTAAATACTGAGTTTTTCAATCATATAAAATTTCTGGGCCTCTAATAAGATAAAAAAAAATTACCAACTTCTCTTTTAAATTGTTTGTGATTTCTTCAAGCATTTGAGAAAAAAAACTTTCTTTTTCTAAAAATAGCTGAGGGTATAACCTCAACATCATGTTTGCAACCTTCAAATATGAAGGTTTTCATATAATGGAAAATACAGAGAAGAGTTAATGCTGTCAGCATTATCCAACTTTTCCTGATATTCCTAAAAATCTCTTCTGTGAAAAAATGTCTCATCCAGACTTTAAGATTTTATTTTATTTAAAAGTTCTTTCCTTAAAAAAAAAAAACTGGTTAACCCAGTATCTCATACACATTGAGTTTTTATTTTTCGAGTCTACCTAATGATTAACTCATATCTCAAATTTTCTTGGAGGATCCAAATCTTATTTTAGATTCTTTAAGATAGTTGAAATTGTTTTCCTTAAAATTCATGTGTTCAAAATTATCTCTGACCACTTAATACAAAGCTTGTTAGATCTTCCTGAATTTAAAGGCAAAAATCAAACCAAAAAACAACTGCAATTTCACATAGACTTTCTTAAAAAGTGCAGTTTGAAAAAAAGATAGCCTGTAATAAGAAAAGTCACAGACTATTTCTAAAGATAAAACTTCATATTTCTAGAGAATTCTGAAGTTTCACGGATTCTAACTGGGGATCTTAGTGAGACTGTCACTGACGTTTCAAAACTGAATTAGAAGTGGAGACAAATTCCACCAATGTTTGATGTAGAATGGTTGTAGTTGTTAATAGTTTCTGGTTAAATGTATATCATTTTGAAACATTCCAAATTATAAGAAGATGAAGATTTTATGTGTTTACATATTGGTGGGCACACTAAAGTTTCTGAAAGACAATGTCTTTTGTTTCTGTGTTTTTTCTGTGTGTTTGGAAAAAAATATTTTAAAATGGCACCACATAAAAAAAATTTTTTTTTTGCTTTCTAGATTTTAATGCTTCCATGTTAATTTCTAAGAATCATGGACATTTTGTCAAAAACTGTGATTTAACGCGGTATAATTTTCTCTGCACTAACTCATGATTCAATACGTATGACAATTAGGCTATACAAAGATAGGAAATTTGCTGGATGGAGCAGTAAAGTTGAAAGCTATTAAGTTCAAGATCATGTATGGCTTCAAAAAGAAAAAACAACATGTAGAAATCGAACAAAGAAGTTCACGTGCAAATGCAAGAAATTAGATAGGCAAGATAAATCCTGCAACCACAAAAAAACAAACAAACAAAAAAAAGCTATATTGTTAAAGTCCTATCAAAAGATGAGGGCTATAAGACATTGAGATGTGGCTGAAAAGAGCAACTTACTAAAATGGGAAGAGAGAGCACAAAAATGTTCCCCAGTACTAAGCAGGGCTCCTGTGGGCAATTAGATAGTTGTCAATTTCACACAGCCTTTCCTTTTAAAAAAAAACATCACCCCAGCCCTAACTACAGGCCTCTGCTCTCCAAGGGGACAGACTCCCTTCCCTCCACTGCGCCTGTGCATTGCGACCCTGCAGGCTGCTTCTTCCACCACCCTATCACTGTCGTGCTTCCACAGTGACTCGAGGTCTCTAGATGCTGCGCACAGTACAAACACATTCAAGGATCCTGCCAGATCCATGGCACAATGTCGGGCCAGGCTTATGTTTTCTCTCTCCCACAGATGCTGCAGTTATTTTCAAAAACAGGGCCAGTCCAGCCCCTCACTCTCCCAATTTCCTGCAAAGATCCAGCCTAATGGCAGCAAGAGAAGTCCAGTCTCTGTCTCCTAGTCCTGCCATAAATAATATCTGATTACAGATGTTACCATTTAAATTTTCTTCCTTTATGTTAAGGAAGAGAAAGGGCCCATTTTGAAAAGAAGGAAAAAAAGTGAGTTGACAGAACAGATTGTGACAGATTTATTACTATTTATCATGGTAAATATGTATTGAAGAAAACATATAAATGTCTTTAGTCATAATCACTCCAAAAGAAACCTTTTATTATCCCCAATTTTTTATTTGTCATAAAAATACTCATACATATTGAAGTAAGTTTTAGAAGTATCTCATGGGATAAAAATTATTTGAGCTTAAAAGAAGGACTAAGCATGGCAGAGGTCTAAATATACAAAAATATAGATCTACTGGGGCAAAAGTGTTACAGTATCTAATACAGATCGTCTCTTTAGATCAAATTGAAATATATATTTTGTGCAGTGATAAGGCATGTGGATTTTGTTATCAGTAATAAGCAATCCAATTCATATAACAAAGCTAACATAAACTTAAAAGAGAGCTGAGATTTGTTTAAGTAACGACAATAAATAGATTGGATTCTAAAATCAACCAAACTAACTTCTTCTTGCTTAAAACAAACGAACAAAAAACAAAACAAACGAAAAAACAACAAGGATAAAATTTCCATTTCAACTGAGTTTTCCTCCTTACCTTCCAAAAAAGAGTTCCTTATGGACCAAAATACCAAAATGTTCCTTAAGGACAATTAAAACGTTCAGCCAACATAAATTCTCAAAGAAGAGGAAACCCTAAGCTGACCACCAAAAGCCAAAAATTAAATAATACAAACTACATTTCCAATCCCTGATTTACTGGGAAGAAAGGAAAGATACTTTTATACTTCTGAACATATGACAGCATATCAGCAACACATAATTGTCTTAACAGCAAAGGAAAAAAACTATACCAGTGAAATTTTCTATAGTGGCCAGTTAGCTCTACAGAAATACTTAAAAATTTACAATGAATTACGAGAACTTGTTGTTGACAATGATTAAATGGATAGATAATATCTACTGCCACACCAAAGCACTCCTTAGAAACTGTGTAAATTTCTGCATAATTTTAGCACTGGAAAAAATAAACTAAGCTTATTTGAATATGAGGCATAAACAGTGTACTATAGCTTTAAGTTTTGCATGGCTTTTATGGCAAAGAGCTATTCTATCATTTTAGAACATTCAAAGGTCCACTTATTGTATTTAATACTGTCCGTATTAGGTTCAGGCATGTTTAAAATGTAAACAGCTGTGAGGACTATATCATTTGAAGTTGTCATAAAAGCTATTAAAAGCTAAAGTTTCATCTACATTAAATCTACCACAAATTTCAAGCTTAAAATGTGCTTATAAAAACCTGCAAGGATATTAGCCAATTTCAAGACGACACAGAAATTCAAAGAACAAACCACTCAGTATGTTTTTAAATGACTTGTTGGTAGTCCAAAGCGACTATTTTATACACCACTGGCAGTTTTATTTACACAATATTTTTATATATTTATGGATAATTTTGTGACGCTCCTTCAACATTACCGAGTCTATGATAATCAGCGTGTACAAAATTTGTTTTTTCTCCCTGATAAGACTTATTCTGATATATTCGCTTAATAATTTTTTGGATGCACTGAACTGAAATCAAGTCAAACACACAGGTGTTTGGGTTAATCTAATCTCAGCACATTTGCAAAACCTATTATTCTTCTAATTTATTAAAAATGAAATAAAACTGATATGCGAGCACTGATTGGTAATATTATTTTCAGAAATCTAAATATAATTTTATTTTAGAGTACAAGAATTTATAAGGCTCATTAGCATTCTTTTCAATGAATACTAGTGCCTTACAGAACACAGAATTAAATTAAAACTATATATATATATATATATATATATATATATATATATATATATATATATATATCATAGGCAGGAAGGAAGAACAAAAAAAACGGAGAAAGTAAGCAGGAGGCAAGGAAAGAAAAGAGAAACTCATAGTTTTATTCTACATAAGGTATATATATATATATATATATATATATATATATATGGATTGAAAATAAGATATCATGTATTTAACTATGATTACAACCAACTTTTGCTATGTTGGCAACTGGAGAGACCGCAGCAACCCCTGCTTATAGCATCAGGTATTAAAACGACCCAGAATGCCTTTGGTTCCAGCTGGATTCTTCTAGTTGCCACCTGGTATTCCAGACACAAATGGCTACTGATGCAGCTACCTTTGCAGCCTTTATTCAGTCCCCTCTCTAGAAAATAGAGACATTTTCCCTGCACTCTGGGCTGAAACCCATGTAAATTTTTCCTAAATCCTCTCCACAAATCTCCTTTCGCATGCAAATCCATAAATCATCATAATACCGACAAAGAATTTAACCAACACGTGAAACTAATACTCATTCTCCTGAAAGCTCTGTGCAGGTAAAACTCCTCGAACTTCAGGCACCTTTTCAAGGCTCTCTTCAGAGCTTAACCAGCTGAGTATCAACACACCCACCCCGTCTTCCAGGATATGCAATTAATCACTCCAACATGGGTCAGGTGCCTGGAGGTGCCCATTTCTACCTCGGCCACATTCTAGATAAACACACCGCTCTGGCGGATGGAACCTCATTTACTGCTATCTCCTTGGCATCAATACAAAGCAGAACAAAATAAACAACATACAAAGCAGAAACAAGCAGTACTTACTGAAGATGGCAAACCTGGAGGAACTTTTCGAACTTTCTTTGTCTGAACCTCTGAAAGAAAATGAGGAGGCTGTGAGGTCCCCTGCATGCCCATTCTCCTAACTAAAAGAGATTATACCACGAAGCCATTTAGATTCGACCAGATTTTCTTAAATCGTGACTTTAGCAAAATGTCGGTACCGCTATCATCTTTTCTTCTGGCAGAAATCAAATCCTGCCTCTTTCATAAAAATGAAGAGATTTAACTTTTTAACGCTCTGGTTTTTAAAAGAGGTTCCTTAGATGGGCGGCCAAGAGAAAACAAGAAATAAGCATACACCAAAATAGTTCTCCTGCTACTATAAGTAAACATACCCACCCAACGTATTACTGGGGTAGGGTGGTGGGAGAGTCATAAGCCCGACAATTGAGTACAGTTTTATGGTTTTTCGGGGGGTGGGGTGAGGATAGTTTGAGAGGATGATATTAAGGAAGGAAGAAAAAGAAGAAAAAGCTACTAATAATCACTCAGGCATTCAAACAGAGGAATACCTTACCCAGGGCACTACTGTGAAGAGGCCTCCTTCGGGGGTTATTGCTAGAATACTGATAATACTGGGAACCAGGTTTGGTGGGCGAAAGGGTTCCTGGGTTGCCCATATCCATGTCACCTCCAAGGAGACTCTGCTAAAAGGTTAAAAAGGAAAAACAAACATATAAGGTTAAGTTTTTACATTTGCCACCCCCCAACTGATTGTTAGTACTTAAACCAATGCAATAAAGGAAACAGCATCTGCTAAGCTGAAACAATTAAAACCCAACATGACAGAAAGCGAAAGAAAAGCCCTCTAAGAAGCTGTCCCAAAGTTTGTGAATTTTAAGTTCTTTACTTTGGAGAGGAAGGTAGACAGTGATGTTCATTAAATGAGATTTTCATCTTTTAAGACGACTAACATTTTCATCTTATAAGTAAAGGGCATTTATGGAAGGCTAATATTTTCTTTATCTAGAGATAGGCTCATATCTGGGAACTAGTCATGCCCTTCCCTTAACAAGAACCAGGGAGAATCTGATTTTTCGAACGCACACCATTTCCCCCCGCTGCTCACACTGGGGGAGAGTATAGATGCTCATTTCAGCTGGGAGCTCTGCCTCTCTGCATGACCCTCCACGAATTCACACAGCACCCCCAGAATAGAAAATGCCAACTGAACCAGGAGGAAATTCAAATTCTCACACTGACTCTCAAAATTATAGAAATAGTAGGCATTCTAAGCTAACAGGAACACATTAAAGGACTTCAGAATGCCCTCTTGAGGACTGTCAGAAACTAAAACACATCCCCACAAATGAAACATTTACCTGAACACTAGAAAACTTTCCCAAATATCACTAACTTATCATGGCGTGAAAAATCACTAAGCTTTCGAAAATGATGACATACGAAAAATTATATAATAATATCACAGTCTCTAAAAGCTACATAGAAACTTACCCATAATATATAAATCGCCTGATTATACTCTGCATTGAACACATTGTTCTTTTAATTATTCTGATATGCAAGAAAACCAGTGTAGATACTACCATTTATATTAAGAACAAATTTACTATTTAATAAAGAAATTTTAGAATTAAATACTAAAAATCTAACTTTATCGTTACTTGTAATCAACTTTTACTGACTGAACTAATTACTGTCCTTGATAAAGTACAGAATGTGTTTTCCCTAATCTAAATTCTAATCACCATGTCACTCACAACAGACTTAGGGATGCTTCACTAACACACTATTCACATGCAAAATACTCTAAATAGGCCAATTATGACTCTGCCCCTGTTCCCTGGTTAACCCGCTGAGAACTGAAAAATTTCACAAGGCAGTCACCAACTAAAACAAAGGGTCCTTGTTTTAAATTAAGACAGTCTTTTTGATTCCTAAATAGCTCAACAAAGTGGCATGTCTTCTAGTGAAAGCAGTTGGTCAAATATGACCCATAAGCTGGAAAATCAAAAATTCAAACCTCCCCTTTCCACCACCATATAGCTAAATATCATAAAGAGAACCTCTCTCTTCCGAGGGATTTTTGTGAGGGCTGGATGAGTAATATATAAAGGACTAATCAGCTACTGACAAGCTTGCCTTCACTGCTTCCAGTTTAAGACTTTTCCAAGGGACACATAATAAACATTACTTTAAAATAAAACTTCGAGGATGAGATTTTAGGATGGAAGGACATTTTGAGCACCAACTCATTTCGGAATATCTTAATATTTACCAAATACCTGATACAACCAGATCATTTACCAGACAAAAATCTGACATCCGAATATTCAATTACTGCCTCTTCCGAATTTAGGAAAGATAACAAAATGCAAGGCAATGACAAACTAAAATAGAGGGCTCTTTATAATAGTTCTCTATAAATCAGGAATCCAACAGTATAACATCAAATGATTTCTTTATCACTTTAGGAGTGGCATTTAAAAATTTTAGAATCTCAACCTGAAATTTCACTCTTGGTAAATCTTACTGACAGTCTGTTTACTTAAGTCCAAGTTTTCTTTGCAATTTCCATCAATAAAGCCATGAATGATTTAAATCACAACCTCTTTACAGTTTGGGAAATCTACAAATGAGCCTTTATTTCATTGGAAAGAGGAGTTTGAAAATGATATTATTGATAACTCCGTAGTTTAGACATTACCCCTATTTCTGCAATTTTCTTTTTCTAAAATTATACAAAATATTCCAAAAAGGGCTGAGCGGATAGGTCGAAGTGCTTGCCTGTCATTTTAATGAGCTTAACCATTGCTTAATTCTTGTTGATCCTGGTGGCAAAGGTTTTCCCTCCCAAGAAAGTAGATGCATTCAATAGGTCGACAGAAAAACAAACAGGCTTGCTGTACTGTGTTTGAGCAGCATTCACAATAGAGCTTGAAAAATATAAAATGATAACTAGATAGCTAACTGGCTGTGGCTGACCTCATTGCTGTTAATTTTAAAGGAAGTCATTTCATGGGCCAGTTGTAAATAAATCACGCATCCAACTCTTACATGACATGAACTATGTATAGTGACACAGGACTGAGAGCAGACAGCACTTACAAACATTTAGTGGCTCATGCTAATCTTTCTTTTCTTTCTTTTTTTTTTTTTGACAAAGCACATTCTTGTTTTTTTCTTTTTAGATCTGTTTGTTCCTTTTTCTCTTTTACTCAGACAATAGAATCATTCTTCTAAAGCATACAAAAATAAGCATTTCCTCACACTTAAGAGAGGCTCTAATCACCCCCCTAGGGAAAATTAAGATATAAATATATGTGTTCCTATTGTAGAATACATTTGTAAATGAACAATGACCATTTACTATTGTCTGGCCTTTACATCACGCACTGAACTCTCTTTAGCTATGAGAAAGATAAAAACATTTTTTCCACCGGCTGAAAACCTGAGTTTATGAATTTTAAAAAGTTAATGCCATTCAATTTAATATGGTAAATTAAATATTGCACAAAATAGACATGGCATTCATTTATATACGAATTTACCTACATATATATATACATATTTATATGCACATGTATATATGTATATACATATATACATACATATCTGAAGACAAATTTATACTTAGTAAAAGTTAAGTGCAAAAGCTAAAGTCTACTTTCAAAACGGGCAGCGTTGCCTTAAACAGGATTATAAAGGTTTTAGGGTTTTCACATTGTGCAAGCTCATGCTCTGCGGTTATGCTGGGTCCCAGTAGAGAGCTGCCTTAGTCTGCCAGGAAACACTGGAAGCAAGATGTGGCATCTCGCAGAGCTAACCTGTAAATCTTAAAGCCAGAGTTTAGCATTTTGTTTAACTGCCTGCAACGTGATGCACCGATCTCTTCCCCTTATTCGCTCCTTATTTTCTTCCGAAGACCAACCATTTTGACTTAAAATACCCTAACCAAAGAATAAAATATACTGACTTTGTCAACTCGATTTAAACATTTGGGAGTCCACCCTCTGCAATCAATTCTTCAGCAAAGACCCAGTCCCAACATAGCCACTCAAATGCCAAATGCAGCCATTCTTTAAGGGGCCCTTTCAATGAAACGTTTTGTTTCACATCAGATCTGGGTCTCAGACTATTTTTCTAACACATTCTCAACGCTGCTCCCTATTGCTTTTGTGGGGAGCTTTTTTAACATCCTTGATCAACCATCGAACTTTACTTATGCAACCAAGAATGCAAACCATGAATTAAACTTGGGTAACAGAAAAGCAGCATATCTCTCAAATTAGATTTATAACTGAATGGTAATCAAAAATAGAACTGCTTCAAGCTTAAATGATCAACTTTTTTCTTGTTAAACTAAAATCATCTTGCGCTGAACTATTATTTCATTTCAGTCAGCACTTTAAATGTAATGGGTGGGTGGTACATTTCTAAAAAGGAAGATTATATTTACCCTTAATTATAGATATGAGAGAGATCAGAATACGCCGAATGCTGCTTTTTGGCTTATAATTAATTCACCTAATAGGCAAATGACCTTGAATTTCAGAGTTGGAATCTGGGAGAGAAAAAAAAAAAAAAGAAGTCGGGGTGGGGGGGAATCTCTGGAGAAAATCAAATGTGACCCTGGTTTCTTAGGGTTTTCTCTGATTTTGCGTCACTCGCGTTACGTTGTGATCCGATATCAGACACAACATCTTGGGGGGATGTTGGAGAACAGAGAAAAGCAGTCTCAGATGAAACCAGATTAAGCTCCTTTTCTGAACTATTGCCAAATGCTTGTGAGTCTAATTCATGTTTGGGTATTCTAGTACTCACACAGCTGCAATTCCATTCTTTCATCACAAACCTCAGTAATGTATAGTGGCTTTGTATAGCGAACTGACTCTTTATAGCCAGGAATTTTACAAGGCTTTCTGTTAATACGGAAATAAAATTCTGAACCACTCTAACACTTACAAATGCGGGATATATGTAGAGGGATCTAATAGACTGCAGTGCCAAATGCAAAATATACATTGAGAAAAATTATAAATTAGATTTGTTTAAAAAACTTAATTCACAACCGAGGTCACTTTTACATAGTTAATTCTGCACAGAATTGGGTTTTCAAAGACACTGCTGAATAAGATTCCTAACAGCCATGGGGAAGTTTTCGCAAATCCCTGTCGAATAGCTGCTGCTGAATTTGCCATTTTGACCACAGAAGGGCCATTGCTGACTTACTATAGTAGCAGGAGGGGGTGATAATTTTGCTGCTGTTGGCACTTACTCTGCAACCCAGAAGATATCTCGCACCAAAGGGCAATGAAGAACACAGTATTTCCACCTGTCCGCTTTTGAACTTCAAAGCTCAAAACTGAAGGTCAGTCTCTGGACAGTCTTTATTCCTGATACCTGAAGGTCCAGGAATATACCTTTATAGTTTACTTTGATTTGGTCTTATGCTTCAACAAAAGAGGACTCGGGAAACTTAGATAAGATGGCAAGGATAACTTTCGTAATCAGGGACTTAAAAGATTGCTGTTATACTGGAGAGAAATACAAATTATTAAAATTATCCTTTAGCAACGATTTTCTTTTAAGGACTTTGGTCAATGTCTGCCATTTCTACTTTAAAAGTACAATGCGAATTGTAACCAGTCAGAAGTTGAATCCAAACCTTTTAAGGTAAGAT